AATAAAGAAAATGGATTTCGAAAATGGGGAAATCAAATAAGATCTAAAAGTCAAATATAGTAAATTTTTTATTCAAAGTGTACATATATAATTATGTTGTACAAATTAGCAATATTTCAAAATGATATTATGGCCAAGTTTTGTATAATTCAAAAGAAGAGCACGGGTCGGAATTTTTGCAATTGCATTAGAACCGCTAAAATTTAATATATATTATTCTGGTAAGTTTAGTATCAAAGTTCAATAAGTGTCATAATGGTTAAACTTTCAATAATCCTAAAGAAAGGTCACATGTTCGAATTCTCGTCAAAGGAAGAACACAGGTTTGAATTTTTGTAATTGCATTAAAACCGCTAAAATTTAACATATATTATTCTGATAAACTTAGTGTCAAAGTTCAATAAGTGCCATAATGGTCAAGCAAGTTTCAATAATCCCAAGGAGAGGTCACAGGTTCGAACGCCCTCTCTATTGCATTAATTTTGGTAAAAATTGTAGAATTAAAAATATTTCACAATAAATTGTTGGGAAGGGATTTGAAACCGCAACCTCCAACATGGATATGCAAGTTCTAACTAGTTGAGCTAATGTTTGAAAATAAAATGAATTATCAGGTAAATAACCTAAAAAGTTTATATGCTGGATCCGCCACTGACTACACATGCTAAGAAGTTCAACCAATACCAAATTCAGAACACAGATTCATCATAAAAAATCTTCGGGAGCTCATTCAATGAAATTAAATTAAAAAGTGAAACCTGGTTGAACCCATGATCCTGAATTGCATTGACTATCTTGTGAAGATCAAACCCACCCCTAGAAGTCTCAAGCACGGTGCCACCCTTTCTATGCCATCCACGAACCATCTTAGGGTTCAGTGGCACTGGCTCACTCGAATAAAATCCTCTGTAGCCCGCTCTTATACCGAAAATTTCACGCACCCCATAGTGCTCCCACAACGCCACCACCAACTCCCTGATCACCGTATTCATCCCGGGGCACAACCCGCCGCACGTGACAATCGCGGCTCGCACGTGACTCGGGTCGAAGTATATTTGCTTTCGAGGCCCGGCCCTATGGTACTCCAGGCGAGGCCCATGAGAAGGGAAGGCTCCCGAGAGATCATGGAGAATATGTCGGAGAACAACGTCGGAGGGAGTGATGTAGAACTCCGATACAGGGTGAAAAAATGGGTTGTGGTCTAGTGGGTTTGGGTGGATTTGGAGTTCCGTGAGGTAGTCCGTCAGGTGGATTAAGCGTTGTAGCTTAATGTTTGAGATTGTGAACTGATTTTCATTTTTTGCTACTTCTTGCTGCTGGTGGCCAGCCTCCGCGTCGTTTGATGATAATGCCATTGTTGATTTTCAATACGATAATTCTTCTGCTGATTATGATTATTTAGTGTTCTATTGTGTAACTGAGCATAATATGGAAGAACGCGGAGGAGTTTTTCGTGAAAGGGGAAGTTCGCGCAGGAGATTGGAGTCGACGTGGCGGAGTAGGAAGCAGACGCGTGTGATACGTGGTTGAATTCGCAAGACACGTATCGTATACTCATACGGAGTGGAAAATTCGTCATATGAACTAGAAAAATGCCATTTGTCCTGGGACAAATGACAGGGCGCCAGGGGGCTGATTTCCGAAGAAGATTTGGTAAAAAATGGTTTTTTAAATGTAATTAAAAAATATGAAAAATTTTTAAATTTAAATATAAATTTTTTTATTAGGACAAATGATAGGGCATCGAGGTGGCTCCCTGGGGGGCTGATTTTAGAAGGAGATTTGGTAAAAAATGATTTTTTTTTTTTTTAATGTAGTTGAAAAAATATGAAAAAATTTTAAATTTAAATATAAATTTTTTAATTAAAAATCTATGAACGAAAATAAGTTTTAAAAAATTAAAAATTAGAGGATGAGGATTAAACATGATCAAAATTACCTGTTTAAATTATATAAACATATTTTCTTATCTACATATTATTAGTAACTTACACGTTAATTCTATTATTCAGTCAAAATTAAATTTTAATTTCAATACTTATTCAAAATGAACTCATTATTATCAATCCTTTCGTTTTCTCCAAACTATTTGTCCTAAAAAATTACATATAATAAATCTCAAACTCAAGCTTCTTCGTAAGATCCACAATTTAATTGTCAATTCATTTCTTAAGATAACTTATAATCATTTAAAAACACTTTCAAATCTACCCAAAAATCACTTACAAACAATTAGAGCGTTCTGTCATGACCCGTTCGTCTCATAGCAAAGATGGCGGAATTATCTAGAATAACAGGGTTTTGAAGCTAATTCGGAATGTTTTAGACTATGATAATTCATATAACTAACTAGAAGGTAATGGAGAATTCTAGATAATTGGCAAGTCTTATACTTGTGGATTATTCTAGATAATCCTAGTTAATTTTTTGTGCATATTTTATTATGAATACTTGTAAAAAGTTCTAGAGACGGAAGGTAGACCGTTGGATCAAATTGATCCTAACCATCCATTAAGAATGATTTTGCCTATAAATAGTTTGGTAGGTTCATTCATTTGGGATAGAGAGAGTGAAGTTGTAATGTTCTAAGCAGTGTAAAGCTTCTCTATTCAATACAAAGCTTTCATTATAAACACTTGTGTTCCTCCTTTAAATTCTTAAGTGTTCTACT